CTTATCTGAGAAGCTTGGGATTGAACCTGAGACCTTCTTCATGCAAAGCAGGTGTCCTACCACATGCTGTGGCCCCTTGCATTGTTTGTGAAGAGCTCATCGAGAGCCGATTCCTGTTCGTTTTCTTCAAGCAAGGCATAGCAGCCTCTGATTTGCCAAATGAAGGGCCAGTTTGTGTTAGCAAGTAGTTCCATGGAAGCTGTTAAATTGCCCCAGTGGCAGCACATCCTTCTGGGCTTGCCATATTAAATTAGTGACTTATTGCAAATGTAGAGCAAGCTCACAGCGATGCAAATTGAAGTGAACTTCATGTGGCCAACACCATAATCTGCTCACAGGGCAGCCCAACCAGTTGACTGGGTAATAAAACCGCCCCCCTTTTTTGCCATGAATCTGTTTTGCTATTCAGGAAAAGGGTTGAAATCTCGCAAAATATCAGAATTGATGGGTCCAGTAAAAAAATAAAAAATTACAACTTAACTTATTCTCTGTCACCGTTATGATGGGCAATCTTCACTTCATAAATGCTGCATAGAGCAATTTTCAATTGAGTGATTCAGAAAATAATTGGTATGTACGAATCAACTTTTGTGGAAGGCAACTGTCAAACACCTAGAAGAGTGAGTAATAGTTACTATTAACTTTCTTATATGTGATTCTACATAGCCTTGTATGTTGAGCAGCTTTAAAAATGAAATGGAGAATATTTATGGGATGTGGAGAGACCTCTGTAATTTAGACAGAGTTTGCTTAACTTACACCATCATTCCTCAACCTGGTACTCTCCAGATACATTGAACCTTGGCATCAGTCATCACTAGGCATTGACCATGTTGACTAATGAGAGCTGTAGTCCAAAACAAGAGGACGCAAGAGCAGGGGAGACTGGTTTAAAGGATGTAAAGTCCTATAAGAGGGCAGTGTTGTGTGCCTCACCAGTACTTTAATTTATCTCTTACATACAAACCTATGTTATACTGAGTCAAACCACTGCCTTTCTCATTCAGTACCATATACATTGATTGGCAGTGTAAAGGTCCTTGCTTTTGCAGCTTTGGGACTAAGTGGTTTGATCACACTGCCCTGGTGGGGAAGAGCTGCAGCTCAGTAGTAGAGCATCTTCGTGTACAGAAGGTCTGAGGTTCAGCCCCTGGCATTTCGCGGCAGGACTGGGAAAGACCTTTGTCTGTAACCCTAAAGACTGTGGCCAGTCAGTGCAGACTGAGGTGGGAAACCTAAGGCTGTGGACCAAATATGGTCTCCAGGTGTCTCTCTCTGGCACTCAGGATTCTCCCCAGGGGAGGTTCTGTGGCACAAATATAAATCCTTGCGCTGACAGAACTACTTACTTGAATACCACCTATGGGCTCCAGTTCAACCTGGAAATAAGCTCAGTGAACTCAGTGTGACTTGCTTCTTCTGAGTAGAGTTGCCGATGAGTAGATAATGAACTGAAAATTGTCTTTTCATTTCCATTTTTGGTTTCTAATGGCCCGATCCAAATAGCTTCCTGTGCCAACAAAACTGAGATACAGTGACTGCTACTCCAGGCCACAGTTCTGACCTGTGGTATGGCACCAACCCGAGAAGTTTCAAAATTTCAGTGCTGTTCCAATAAGACCTTTAGTCCAGTGTGGAATAAAAGCACCACACAAAGCCTTTCAGTTTAGTTTATTTTCGTTTTTGTTTATTATTTACATCCTGCTTTTCTGTAGGAACAATTAAAGTAGCTTACAGTAAAAAGGATAAAAATACATCAAGGCAGGAATAAACAAAATTAAAACACTAAATCCTCTGTAAGCAGTAAAAATGACAACAGTTGAAAACATTCGGAAGAGAGCAGTTATTAAAAACTCAAATCTCTAGCGTATAGCAGGTTTAAAACTCTTTGAATAGCAGATCATGCATTAAGAATTAGGTTGAATGTTTATAAAGCACTTCCTAACCACTGAAAGACAGGCAGAGAAGGAGCCCAGCAGGTCTCCACTGAGAGGGCATTCCACAATATTGGTTCCTCACCTAATCTCACTTATGAACAGGACAGAGAGCTTGTTCTTCTGCGACTGATCTTAAGGGCTGTGTTCACAGAGGATTGAAGGGGTGGGGAGAGTCAGTACTGGGAATTGCAGTATTTGATAATGTCACATATAGCGATCCTAAGTTAGGAAAGCTGCACGTGCAGGTTGGATTTACTTCTCCCAGCACACTGTTTTGTAGCTACATTTGAGCAAGCTGTCCTCTGTATTATGGCAATTCAGCAATCTAAGAACGGGTGTCTGATCTTGTTACATTTCAGATTATCTCTTCAGCTTTTATTGATAGCCCCAAGAGCTAGAAACTTCATTTAAAAGTAAGATGAGAATGCCGGGGCATGTAACATATATGGCACCCATAGACTTAGTCATATTAAACTGAGAGCTTTTGATCAAATAGCTTTTATTTGATGAATATTATCCTTTTTAAACAGACTAGTCATTAATTTGGTGTATTAAATATGTATTTTATGCAAAACTCAATATCTCAAAGACAAAATAGTTTGGTACTATCTTAAAGGCTAACAAATGTATTATGGCATAAGCACAGGAGCCAACAACATCAGCCGTACCACATTTTCTAAACTGGTAATATATGGCAGGCGTGGGGAACAGTTTGCCCTCCAGATGTTGCTGAACTACAACTCTAATCACCTGCAGTAAAAATGGCCAGGTATGATGGGAGTTGTAGCTCAGCAACATCTGGATAGCCAGATGTTTCCCAACCTGTTCTATAAAATTATCTCTTTAGGGAAGCTTGCCTGGCACCCATATTTTCCTTTTGGTGCAAGGCCAATGTTGATCTCTCAGGCTTAAAAAATAATAAAACAATATCATTTTGAGACCTTGACTTTTCCTGCCTCTGTGGTACCCCCGCATAACACAGAAATAATTTTAAGAGGTGTTTTAATAAATATAAACAATCAAAAAATAATCAGTCTTGCTCATCAGTTTGCCCGTTTGCTGTTTCAAGGGGACAAGCCAGACTGCCTCAGTGCAAAGAGAATAAGTTAAACAAACCAGTCATTAAAGATGCCAACACTTTGATAATAGTGGGGAAATGTTTCAATCCCCTTGGGCATTCTCTAGCAGACTTGAAAGCTGCCATACCTAAAAAAGAAAGTTTCAAAGAGATTCTCCAGCATGAAACTGGAATTATTGTAAAATCTGCAAATGATCATACTTAGCCATTACCCATGAGACTAACTCACTGCGAACACCTTTTTAGGTGCCAGTGTACACTATTTGTGTTGCATTGCCCATTCATTACCAATTAGGAATAGGCTGCTTGCTCTGATTTGATCTTCTGTTTCAGAGAGGGGGTTCAAATATATCCCCACATGCATCTGAAGAAAGTGTGAGGTGTCCATAGGGCGGCTTGGACTGGCTTTGCCTCCTACCAGTTACGTACCCCAGAGCTATGCTCCTTCTGGCTATGTGCACATTCAGCGTACATGGATATATGCACACGTGTACCAACGTATGCATGTAGAATTCCACATGGGGGGCGGATTCTGATTAACCTAGAGGACACTCCCCCCCCATGTGGAGGTGCTCTCTGTATGCACAGCTGTATGCTTGTAGGACCTTTTCTCATGTAGGCTGAATGTGTATGCCCAGCCTGGTATTTGGCTGCCTTGCACATTGGTAGTTTTTTTTTGGGGGGGGGGAGGCTGATGGGGCAAGCAGCTGCCCTCTCAAAAAGATCATGCATTTCACTTATCTGTTGGGTTGGGCCTTATAATCTTGCTTCATGAAATGTTCTCCCTGCCTGTGCCTCTGTCTTTACCCCTTACTAACATTTTCCTTACATAAAGTCAAGGCAGCCTACATTGCTCTTCCTTTCCCCTCACAACAACCTTGTGTGGTAGGTTATAATTAGAGGCAGTGATAGGCCCAAGGTCACCCAGTGCCCTCTGTTGCTGAGTAGGAGTTTGAACCGGGCCCTCTGCAGTATAAGTCCAACCGCTATACTGCGATGGGAACCTTTTTGGCCCTGTGGGCCCTATGTTTATCTCCCTCCACCCCCACAGGTCAACTTTGATGGGTGGGTGGGGCTACCCGCCTGCCAGTCATCTGGCATCATGATGACTTGTGCTCGTGGGGAGTGGACTCTGCTTCAGCAACATGTTCCCTGCAAGGAACACAGTGGTGAAGCAGCACCCAGCAGGACTGAACCCTGCCCCCGCAGGAGGTCATGGTTGGGGGAGGGGAATGGCTTTTCAGGCCAACTTGGTCCTCCTGGTGGGCCGGAATTGGGCCACAGGCCAGAGGCTCCCCACTCCTGCACTATACCATACTGGCTCCTGTGTTTTGTATAAAATATGCCAGCCAAGGATCTCACAATCTGTGCATCTCACAAAGTACACTTCGGTCCACAAGCAGTGTGTTAGTCTTTGCTGCAACAAATTGATGGAGCTACACCTCTAGAACACATCAAATATCCCTTTTTGGGATACTAAAGGAACTGTGAAACAACTTACTGTTTAATAAACAAAATCTACTGATCACAATTTGAAGGAAAGACTTGTCTTTTAATATTTGTTTCATTTCCTATGTTACAGTAACACACCAGAATCAAAATAGCCTCAAAAAGTGTGTCTTTAACTCTCAGCCCTAGCAATTAAAGGTTGCCCTCACTGATTAAAATTGATCTTAAAGCTTTAGCTGATTAATCCACTGATTAAACCAATTAAAGTTTGCAGTAGTCATTCAAGTATTTGATATGGGGGGGAAATAGAAGGACTGGCAGCAAGACACTCACTGGAAAACAGTTGGGTTTTCCTTACCTATTTCCGCATGTATTTCTCGCTGGGCCACTAGTTGTGGTGATGGGCTTCCACCTTTCTGCATCAGTCCAATACTGAAATAACAGAAAAAGCTGCATGAAACAATGTAGAATTGTAGAGTTGGAAGGGATCCTGAGGATCATCTAGTCCAACCCCCTGCAATGCAGGAATATGCAGCTTTCCCATACAGGGATTGAACCTGTGACCTTGGTGTTATCAGCACCATGCTCTAACCAACTGAGCTACGTAGGAACATAAGAAGCTGCCTTATACGGAGTCGGACCCATTGGTCTGTCTAACTTGGCATTGCCTACACCAGGGACAGCCAACCTGGTGCCCTTCAGATGTTGTTGGACTAAAACTCCCATCATCCTTCGCCATTGGTTATGCTTGCTGGGGCTGATGGGAATTGTAGTCCAACTGTGTCTGGAGGGCATCCCATTGGCTACCCCTGGTTTACACTGACTGGCAAGAGTTGTCTGGGGACATTCCCAGCCCTATGTGGGATCGTCTTCTGTGTACAAGGCAGATGCTATGCCGCTGAGTTATGGTCCAAAATGGAACAAAGTAGCATGAGACGAAGTACGGAAGAACAGGAAAAGCTAACCGTTGATGGCTATTCTGTCACCCTCTCTCCGTGGCCATTGCTTCTCCTTTAAAAGGAGAGATGAGCATAGCTACTGGGAGAACTAGCTAGAGAAAGGAAAAAACTTTGCTGAGGAGCAGTAAGAGAAACAGGCGAGGAAGCAACAAACTCAGGGGTCCAGAAAACTGCCTGGGAGTAGCTAATCTTACCCCCAAATAACCCAGCTCCTGCTGCAGTGTTGACAAGAAGGACATGCATTTAAGAGTTAGTACTCCAGTCTGCTGGAGTTAATAATGGGCAACCCCTTTGGATAATGCGTTGTGTAGGAGGACGAGCCGCCAGCTTCAAAACTGCAAAGCTATTTTAAGAGTCTTTATTAAAATTGAACCATATTTCACTGGAATCCACTCCCTGGCCCTTCTGTTAAAATATCTCATTAGCACCAGTTTATCATTGAATTTTGAGCTTAATATAGTGACACACACACACACACACACACACGTAGTGGGTGTCCCACTGTGAGAGTCCTGAATTGCTGGTGACCCCGTAATGAGTTGCGTGTGGGTTTTTACTGGTATGTGTGTTCAGATGAATGATTATGCTTTTGTTTTGTGGGGGTGGAAAGGCGAAGGATGATGTGTTTTGACATTTGCCGTGCGTTTTCTAGGTTGAGCAATTGCTTGACATGAGCCCTTTTCCCAGGAGCCGATGAGTCTAGCTCTCCTCGCAAAGAGACTTCTTGTCGATTGCTAGAGAATATAACTCTGATTCAGACTAAGCTCTCTGCTTCTGGTAGTGATGGAGCAATGTCTCAGGGGAATAAATGGCTTGGGGCTCTCCGGGGTTCACACATACAAACTGCACGGGCAAAGAAAGGGAAACGTTGATCCTGAGTACTGTGCATGCTCACACCTGAGCTCTGTCTTATACGTTGGGAAGGCTGCAAATACACATTTCACTTTTTATATTTTCTAATTCAGACAGAGTGAACAGATGGGCAGCCAGCCATGGGGTTTTTGGTTGTTGTTGTTTTTAACACATCTCCCCTTGAGAGGTGCAGCAAGAGAGCTGTAGTGGTTAGAGAACTGGATTCAGACCTGGGAGACCAGCATTCAAATCCTCACTCAGCCATTAAGCTCACTGGGTGACATTGTCCCAGTCTCTCAGTCCAGCCTAACTCCCAAGGTTGTTGTGAGGATAACAGTGGAGAGGATGGAGAACCATGTATGCCATCTTGAGATTCTTGGAGGAAAGGTGGGGTCGCAATGTAACATTAAATAAATAAAAGGAAGTCAAATGGAATCCGTTCCGGAAGTCCGTTTGACTTCCAAAATGTTCGAAAACCGAAGCACAGCTTCTAATTGGTTGCAGGAAGCTCCTGCAGCCAATTGGAAGCAACGGAAGCCCCGTCGGACATTCGGCTTCCAAAAATAGTTTGCAAACCGGAACAGTCACTTCTGGGTTTGTGGCGTCCAGGAGCCAAAATGTTTGAGAACTAAGCTGTTCGAAAACCAAGGTACAACTGTATTGGGTTTATTTGGGCTCCAGCAAGTTTGTTTTGAGAGCTCTTTCTGTGCAGTCTCTGCTCCTGACCCCTGCTGCTGCAGGCCAGTCCCACTCAGAACCCATTTTATAGAAGGGAGGTCACCATAACTTTTCTTTTTTTTAAAAAAAATAATTTTTATTAAAGATTTATTAGTTTATAAAAACATGTGCATTATCTCTTTTTCAAGTTGCTTTTTCTACAGATCAGTTTCATTTGTTGTGAGACATTAGTGTTGCATGCAGTATAAGTTTGGGAAGAAAAGAGGGGTGGGGTGGGGGTGTTTCTATTCTTCCACTTAGTGTATGGCCATACCTTTTCTGACAGCTCCTTTAGCTATTGTTTCTAGAAGACTTGGGAGGGAATAATTGTAGTATTGGTGTCGTTTACAGTGGGTGTGAGCAGAAGTGCTTCTGGTATATCTCTGGGTGATTGGAAGCAATTTGAAGGGTTCTGATTCTTGACAATAGCAAAAGGCTTCCCTCTCTTCTAAATTAGGCTGCTGAGATGAAGAAATCTTGGGAGGGGGAAACCAGGACTGTGAGCTTAGTCTTGTTACTGAAAAAAAATATATTCTAAGCACCCTGTTCCTTCATTCTATGAGTGGGTTGCCTTTCTCAGCCAATGTTTTGTACACCTGGCTCAAGCCGGTGGACTTTTAGTTTTAATAAAATAGGTTGTGAACTGCCCTGAGATCTACAGATAAAGGGTGGAATGAAAGAAAGAAAGAAAGAAAGAAAGAAAGAAAGAAAGAAAGAACCCACAAGCCTAAAGTTGCCCCCCCCTTAAAGGATATCCATTGTGCCAGGCTTTTTCTCTCTGTAGTTAACATTACTTTAAAAAAACCTAGTACAACTACATTCAGATGTATTTCTCTGCGGAGCAATAACAAATGCATTCTATCCCTTTTGGTATTTCATTAGATTCTCAGAATCGGTGAGTACATAGTACATCACCTCTCTAGAGGTGTATCAGGCCACTGTTGCTCTGTAGGAGCACTCAAGCTGTGGGTCAGCTTATTAAAAGATGCATAGTACATGAATTGCTTTTCTTTTGATGGGAAGCACTGAAATTCGTTGGACTGGAAGACATAATCTAAAGCCAACGTTCTTGGACAAAGATGCAAAAGAAAGCAGGCTTGCATGTTAGTCCATAAACATCATTTTACCAGCCCACATGCCCACATTTATTAGTCATTGACTAGATGGATTTAAAAGGGGATTAGACAAATTCATGATGGAGAGGGCTATCCATGGCTCCAAGCCTTGACGGCTATGCTCTGCCTCCAGCAATGCTTCTGAATGCCAGTTGGTGGAAACCACTGGAGGGGAGAGTGTTCATGTGCTCAAATCCTGCTTGCTGGTTTCCCACATGCATCTGGTTGGCCACTGTGAGAACAGGGTGCTGGACTAGATGAGCCATTGACCAGATCCAGCAGGCTTTTCTTATGTTCTTATAACAACCGACTCTTTCAATTTACATAAACCTCCCTGTTTGGTTGCCAGTAGGTGCTTATTAGTCAAAACAGCCGACCAGGTGAGTCGCTGTTCCTAAACCTGAACAAAGCATGAGCACAGGGATACAATTTGCTTTCGCTTGGAAGTTAAGCGAGGGCTTCGTCAAGGAAAGTGATGTGTGAAAAATGTACTTGCGTCAAGTGGTTTCACTTAGAGCAAGGCAGCTGCTGCTTACCGTGCCTGTTTGTTTGGGCTAGGATTTCAATTATATGTCAAGGGCATCTAAAGCTTGGACTCTTTCATATTGCAATCAAAATAATAGCTCCCAAAGTGTGGTGTCTGTTTTGCATACAAGGAAAGAAAGGCGGAAGAAACCTCTGCTCCCTCTTGCAGGCCATTGAATAGCGATGGGATGGTAAAACCATTTAGTGGCTGAGCTCCTGATACGGCACACTGTTTCCTTTATCTCATCTGCCGCATACCCTTGTACTCTGTATTATTTAATCCCGAACAAGTAGCACTTCTAGATCAGTACTCACAACTAGTAGACTTTAAAAATGCTGCTTTGCTCTTCATTATAAATAAATCAAAGGGGCTTGCAAGGTTCCCAAAATATATAAAACCTAATAAATACAACACACCCAAAATATCTGAGGTCAATATTGTATTATAAAACCAAGAGCAGGTTGGAACAGCCTATCTACCTCAAGAGGTATAGTGGGTTTTCTGTTGCTGGAGGTATTCAGGCTGAGGCCAAATTGGTCAGAGGTGCTGTAGTTGCATCCTGCACAACAGATCCTAGGCCAAGCAGAGGTTGGTCCAGATGACATCCAAGGTTACACTCAGCTCTTTGATTTTATGAAAACAATTTCACATAAAAGCAGGGATGCAAAAACTCTAATCTGCATTGACCCGGCTTAGCATGAATGTGTGAGTGTGCAGGTTTCTGCGGAGGGGATTGTGGCTGCTTTGCTCTTCCTCCAGTCGTGCTGCTGTGAGCTAAGCTATGGTTTGGTTTAGTGTGGCCTCTGAACCCAGACTCATGGTTTGTATTGCTCTACCTTTCTGGTTTACAGCTTGTGGTTTGTCAGGGACAGGCTAGTGCAAACCATGGCTTAGTTAGCAGCAGCAAGACCAAAGGAGGAACAAAGTGTCCCTGATCTTCTCTTCAGGAGACTGCATGTCTTCCATACTCACATTGATATCTTGGTTTGGCTTAGCATTGTGTGAAAAATGAACTATTAAATGCTTGGAGAATGAAAAGCTCTTAAAAGCCCATCTAAAGCTTTCAAAACAGAGAGCCAACCACATCTCTGGATGGCAGGAGTTCCATTCCCTGTGTGCTGTAGTAAAAAAGGTTGTTCTCACTTATGCAGATTAGAATTTCATTAAAAACAAAGGGAGAATTTTCCAATAGAGGAATGACAATAGAGGAATGGACCAGAGCACGCCAGGCACTCCTGTCTTCCACTGCCTCCCGCAGTTTGGTCAAACTCATGCTGGTAGCTTCGAGAACACTATCCAACCATCTCGTCCTCTGTCGTCCCCTTCTCCTTGTGCCCTCCATCTTTCCCAACATCAGGGTCTTTTCCAGGGAGTCTTCTCTCCTCATGAGGTGGCCAAAGTATTGAAGCCTCAGCTTCAGGATCTGTCCTTCCAGTGAGCAC